TAAAACCATCTCCCTAGCAACTCCTTATTAGGTTTAGGATTCTTAGAATTGGCTTTCCTTGTCAAATGTACGTACACTTTCATGTAATTCCTCTTAGCTCATCTTCAGAAATTAGGCATTGGGTATTTGCTACAAAGTTGAAGTACATTGAAGAGCTTATGAGGCTACAAAACCAAGGTAATTTGTGCATTCATTTATAATGGGCATCCTTAGGAAAATCATCATTTGCATTATATACTTTGTCGAGATGACTAGTCATATAGGCCAAATCAGCATTTGCACACATATATTTTGTCGAGATGACTAGTCATATAGGCCAATATTTCCAACATGGGATTTTTATGACTAGTCATATAGGCCAGTATTTCCAGCATGGGATTTTTAACCAAGGCACGTGATTTTGCTTATTATAAGTCCAATCATTAGCTGCCAAGTGTCCTTTTGACCTGCTGGGGCTGGTTTGGACTTACCATCTCTCTCATTTACAATTTATGATATGGTTTTTTAGAGAGAGAGAGAGAGAGAGAGAGAGCTCTAGTGAGAGACTAGGTATGAGTTTTGATTTTTGAGAGGCATTTTTTGCCTCTGCCATTTTCATAGAGAGGTTTTGAGAGCTTTGATTTTGCTATGCATCTTTTCTCTGAGAATGAGGTCTGCATCTTTGAGAGAGAGACATAGTGGTTTTCTTCTTCTTCTCTGCATTTGCAGTTGGGTATGGTTTGAGTTTTCAAATAGCTTTTGAAATATGCTTTTATTTTCGAAATCTACTTCATCCATTGAGAAATTTTGAGAGTAAAACTTATACTTTGCATTCTCTAAGGTTTTTCATTGTGAGATTTTGAAAATGCTTTTTAAAAATATGCTGTGCTTTTTATAATCTGCATTTGGGTTCAGTTATGACTAGTCATCTTTTTTTGTCTGCATCTAGGTTCATTATGACTAGTCATTGTCTTTAGTCTAGATTAGATTTTTAGTTGATTTCTTGAAGGAATTGTCTCTTTCATCTCAGAATCTATATTTCATTATGTTTGTTTGATCCAGAGCTGAGTTGTCGGTGCCATGGAGTGAAGGAGCTGATGGACTAGCTGCCATTGCCATGAAAGACTAAGCTGCTAGCTTTGCTAAGTTGGAGAAGAAGATTGCACAAAGGAGGTATAGCTCATCCTCCTAAATAGATATAGTATTTCTTGAGCTTGCTTGTGTTTCTTTGTAAGAATCTTTTTTGCTTAGTAGATTGCCTGATCGGTTGATGACCTTTTTTTCCAGTGGTGGGTTCTTAGGTGAACAATTTCTAGTTTGCAGATTCGTTATTTTCTGGGTATGTGTTCTTGACAGTTGACTAATCATCGCATGATGTTCATGCATTTTTGGGTTTGTGTTCTTGCAATTGACTAGTCATCATTATCTGCTATTTGATGTTTATTTGATTATGATGTTTTCCCACACTTTTACCATAGTTATTGCTAGCACAAGAGATGCCTAGATTGACTAGTCCTTTTGAGTGCCTAGGTTGTCACTAGTAATCTTCTAGGCTTGTAGGTGTAGATTGTTATGCTCTGTGCGTGTGTTCTTGGTTATGGTTTTTCAAGACTAAGAAGTTGACTAGTCATAATGTGAGAATCCGTATTCTTAAAAGTTTTTTTTAAAAAAAAAACGTTTATACATATGTACTATCTTATATTTACAATGCTATTTTAATAATTATTTGTTCATTTGAATAACTATAAATTATATATTTATTATTTGTTTTTCTCTAAATCCTTAGATATTTCTTGGGCATTTAACTTATATATTTATAATAATATTCAATTGTTAGAATTGTGTTATTCACATCTTGTGTATTAAACAGCTATAAATAAATTAATTAATTAAAAAATATATCTTTTTATCTTTCTGAGCAAGTTAACTTGGACAAGAGAATTGACATGGTAATTATTTATATATATGAGTTTTAATCATCTTAAGGTGGAGTGGACGTGTGGCACATGCATATTTCATCCTTGTCACCAATATATGTGTCATTGTTTCAAAGCTCAAAGCTTGTATGTTTTGACTATGGGTGGTTGCGGTTCAGTAATCGCGAATTTTTACTCAAATCGCAAACCGACCGACTATTTGCGGTTTGATGATTTTTGAAACAGCAAACCGACCGTGTTTTGTGGTTTACTGCATTGCGATAAACCGCAAAATGCGGTCGGTTACCGCGAATTAGCGGTTTAAAACCGCAAGTTCTCAAACATTCACAAAAATATAAATTTACAACCTAAATAAATAAATACACAACCTCAATTTCTCAAGCATATATAAATTCACAATCTCCTCAACTTCTCAAGCATTCCCAACCTAAGAAAATTAAAGTTACAATTCCAAGCATTCTAATTAAAGTTAAACTTCTCAAGCATTCCAATTCCAAATCCTTTAAAGTTACAAACCAAAAGAAAAATGCAAAGCAAAATGAATTAAAGTTACAACCAAAAAGAAAAATCTAATTCAAAGTTAATTAAAGTTACAAACTAAAAGGAAAATGCAATGCACCAATGTTACAAACTAAAGTTACAAACTCAAGTGTTGGTGGTGAGTGGATTTGAAGAACTCCGTTGTGTTGTTTGAGCATCAATGTTATATACAAATAAAACAACATAATTTAGTACATTTTATTATAAGAAGAAGCATAAATAACATTAGCATAAATAAACTAATTACTTACAAGTTGTCATATGTTCTATTTCCTTGTATAATTCAACTTCATCATCCGTGCGGCTATACTTTGCGGTTTGCGGTAACCGCAAGTTTTGAAAATCAAATACCGCAACCGCAACTGCAAATGCGGTTCGGTTCTTAATACCGCAAATGCAGTTCGGTTTACCGCGATTGCGGTTTCATTGCGGTAAATTGTCGGTTGGTTTTTGCGGTTTTTTCGATTTTTCGGTTTAAAATGCCACCCCTAGTTTTGACAGCTCCTGTAAGAAGTTAGTAATTAATATTTTGATTTTATCTTCCTATATTCGTATTTATCGTTATTCATTAAGCTTATCCATATATCTATTCTTACTTCATGCCCAAGTTTTGTAAGAGTATAAATAAGGCCTCTCCCCTATGGTGTCAATAACAAAAAATGAGAAACAAAGAAATGAAGTAAAATACCAGAGAGAGGAGTGTGAGCGTGAATAAGGTGGAAAATTGGGAAACACATTACATTTCTAGCAAAAGCTTTGGTGTCAAGATAGGGGTTTCTTGGGGGCCTTTTGCAGAGATTGATCTAATTAAATTTCTTGAGCTCTATATTATGTGTAATGGATTTTTTGATATTGTATAATGTTCTTGATCTTGGATGTTTATAAATTGTTAACTATTTGGTTAATGTGGTACTGTTTGATTTATGTTCCTTGTATTGGATATTTACGTACTCTTAATTATTTGAACAATGTGGGCATAATTATATGTGCATTGGTGATGTTTTAAATGGCTACATTGTTGTGAAGGGCATAATTATATAAAGTCATAGAATTTGGTTAGAATTTTGGAGTTGAGAAAATAGTTGTGGAAAAGAGGGTAATGGAAATAATCTTTTGTGTAGTTGAGTCTAACTCTTGGCAGGTATCAGGTCTCAAGGATTCCATAGTGCACATGGTTTTTTGGGTGATTCAGGACTGGCGACAGGGAGTTAGACAAGATGATTAACAAAACGGGAATTATGGAATGATTAAAATGAGTGTTAGTTCATACAAATGGGCATTTGGGACCAAGTGGTATAAACATGGTATGGGACGTGCAGGAGCTGAGGGTTTGATTTTCTTTTAAAGGCTCGAAATCGTGGGAAGAAGAAGGCAAGGCGTCATCTGATCATGGCTAGCTAGTAAACTAGCCAATGACTACTCAGTTTCCTACGAAATCTAGTTTAGTAGACAAGACATGGCAAACGTGGGTGGTGCGCAACATTAATGGCCAATTGATTCAAATATGAACCGCTAAAACTTGGAAACTGTTTTCCAAAAAACAGTTCAAATTCAAGGGGGTATTGTTTGGGCCAAAATTTTGCACATCCAATGACAAGACCCGCCCCGAATTTCCTCGGAATCCGGGACGGACCCCGCCTAATTACCGACATCAACCTAATGTCGGGCCCACTTAGTAAAGACTGAGACTTTCTACCAAAAATTTGGCAGAGTCTCCCCTGTAAATTGAACATTCCCAAACTTCAACCTGTTCAAAATTTACAGTTAATTACAACCAACTGGCAGCATGCTTTACAAGCAACAAAACAATTACAACAAAGGCCTCCGGCCTCACAATTAAACCCTCAGTGGGCGTTACAGAGCATAACTAAGGAATTCAAAATACAACCGAAGTACCGTTTAACTGAAAGGAAAAACAAAGCACCAAGAGTCTTTACGAAGACTCGAGTTCCAAGATGCACCCGGTCCGGCTCAACTGCAAAGCTCAGTCGCTACTGGCTGGGGGCGCAAAATAGAAAGTTGTGAGTGGACAAAAATCAAGTTCAGTTCAAAAGAAATCAAAGTAGTATAACCCCCACCTTTATAAAAAACATACAATGAAACCATAAGCATAACAACCATCAGAAAAAGGTATATAAACATACACGACATATATATACCGGATCTCAAATCCGTAATCCGTGAATAATGCTTCACGAAACCCACCACTCAACTTAAGAGTCCCGAGAGATTAGACTCTTGTAAACGTACTCAAAAGTACGACCGGCGAGGAAGTATCCTTACCGAAAATAGAACGAAGGAACATTCATATAAATAAATATATATCATATACATACATAATAATAATAATATGAGATAACATAATAATAATAATAATAATAATAATAATAATAATAATGATAATAATATATAAAGATAACCAATATTTAATTGTACTGGGGAAACAATCCAACCGGGGGACTGTTTGACTAGGCCACATGGCAGAGCCATTCCTCAATTTACCATGTGTCTAGGGAGCGAGCCGTCCAACCGGGGGACTAACTCTCAGCCAGCACATACAGCCGACACAGTCAAAGCTTGTACGCCTGAAATACCAGTCCTACGCGGGCAGACTACCCCAAATCCAGGGTCCACAGCAACATCCCCTCAAGGATGCCCTGAGTTCTCATCGTAACCAAATTCAGATCAGGGGAGGTACATAAATTAGTGCTTAACGCACTCCAAATAATAGATCCAACATTACCTTTCCATAGTTCATATTAACCACCAAGTACCCCATGCATAGCCGCATGTAAATATAACTTCTCAAAATTCAAATATCAATGTAAGTTTTATGAAAACCTCGAATTCCAATTCAAGCACATAAAAATAATTACTAGACATAATAAAACGATATGCCATATTTCTATGAATAAAATCATACTGAGTTTCAAAAGAAAAGTCCACTCACAAGTAGTCCCACACAGCTTGACCCTTAGAGGGTCCCGCCTGCTGCGTATGTTGGGTCGGAGTACCTGATTCAGAATACGAAAATGCGATGAATATCAAGCACTTCAAAACAGAACTTTGAAATAAAACCCTAGCTTCCCGGGAGTTCCTATAGGTTTTACGAGGTCTAGGATACACGTCCTGTAAGTTTGGTCTGAAACGGACGGTTAGACCGCTCACGATCGCACAATTGGACGGTTACTGAAACCCTCACCCTAGGGTTGGCATTTCCAGAGTATCCGGGACTCCGTTTTACGATCCGTCGAATCCTACACAATCTTACGGTTATCCCGAGGAACATACTTAAATTGGAAAACGATCCAATGGTCAGAACATATCAAACCCGAATAACGCACAATATGCGATAATTCGTTCGATAGTCAAACGACCTCGGAATGGAGATCCGCGAAATCCTATGCGCTCGTGACAACGTAAAGATCACATTGGAATAGTTTGCAGCTCCACCACATTTGCCCACGCGCCGCCACACGCGCCGGTAGCAAGCGGGTGTGCAGAGAAATTCCGGCGACGGAAAATCTCCAAATCACAAGTCACCCTCCCGACTACAGGTCCTACTCAACTAGGGGAGCACTTCATTCAACTACGGCGAAGCCCCAAACCACCGGGAACTGGCCGGAATTTTGAATTGAAAACCGGCCAAAACCCTACTTCGAAAAATCACTTCCAAAACCTCAAAATCGTTTCAATCCTAAGCAACAGGCAGCTAGAACAGACAAAACGAAGGAGAAAACTCACCTTTCACACCGGAAAAGGATGACTGTAGCGGTGGTGCAACGATCGGAAAACCTTCGATTCGAACCAGTCGCAACGGTCGGCGGTTCTCGAACTCTACGGTCGGGATTTTGGGTGGGTCAGGTCCGGGACTTCACTACGAGTCGAACGGAACCGGTCTCGGGGGCTGGGGTGGCCAGAGGTGATGGCGGCGTGGAAAATTCTGTTCAGGTGAACAGTGACGAGAGAGAGAGAGTTCGCGGGAGAGAGAGAACGCACGGGAGAGAGAGAGAGGAAAGTGAACTGAAAATGGAAAAATCTGATTTTTTTTACAATTACCTTTTCGACTTATTTACGATTTTGCCACCGGAAGAAATTTCATCGCCAACACTTCGTTATAACTCCGATTCAAGCCTACCGCCTGTCTACGAATTCATCTCAGAACCACTTACACAACTAAACCACTTGTGGTCCCAAAATCCTTCCGGACAAGAAAATGACCAAAATACCCTACCCCAAGGGTAGTTTCGTAATTTCACAGTTAATTTAATTTTAACCTTTTAAATAGAGTCGGGGTGTTACATCCAACCCAGCGTTGGAGGCCCAGAACGACAAAGCAATCTCAGAACCCAGGCAGTTTGGACTTTTTCGTTTAATTGGAATCAAGAGCCCAAAATCGAGAAAGCCCAGCCCAGGTCCTGTCAGCCCACAAGAATAAACTTGGGCTTTGGAAAACAGAGAAAGGAAATCAGCCCACAGTCCCAAAACTCAACCTGGGCTTGGCGTGATCAAATGAAAAAGAGAAAAGCCAAAAATTGAAGCAAACCCACGTGACTACCTGACTTTGAAAAGTCAACAATTTCAACTAGTCACAAGAGAGTTGACAGGGAATTAATGAAGGCAGGTCTTACAAGAAGATATCTCCAGTCATTTCAGCCAAAAGAAGATCAAAATCCCTTTCAATATAATTCTACATCAAGACATACATCATTTCCAAGGGATAAACAGACTACATTTTCTAAAGAGATAAGTAGGGTGCAGGGAGTTGTTCGTCTGGAAAATCAAACTAACCATCACAGCAAGTTGAAATCTTACAAGAGGAGTTAAAGGTCAAAAAGGGATTAGGTTTTCTTTCAAAAAGAGCAAAGAAGTGATCACCATAAAGAACTGACTATTGATAGTTTGTTGCCAGAGTAGATAAAATTCTCCTTTCTTTGACATTTAAAATGAAAGATCATGCTTTTGGAAAATCTGCCGCCCATTATTAGGAGATTAGAAATCCCACTCCCGCATTTTCTATAAATATGAGAGGAGATGAACAAATCAAGGATAGCCAAAAAATCAACCAAAAAACAAGCACTCAAAATGATTAATTGATCTCAAAAGCCTTCAAAACACTAAGGCAACCAAAAGCTCATTGAGCCATAAGAAAGAAGTCAGCTATAATTCAGGATCTCTAACTTCAGTTCAGTCCCAGAGAAATAGTCATTCAACGCGAGATTTCTTTTGTTACAAATTTGGTTCAGCATAAGCCAAATCAAGCAGAGTTCGAGTTTCACAAATACGAAAACCTCAACAAATTTATGGAGAGCCTGATTAAGCAGAACAATTACTATAGTGCAGTTCCAGCTCGGTAATCATTAAATCCAGACACTTCTACCCCTTCCAGACTGAAGAGGTTCCAATTCTGCCCATTCAAAAGGCTTTCCCGGGCTTGAAATAGATTAAACCTCTGCCAAACTCGAACGTTGTCACTTGATGGTCCAATCCAGCACGGATACACTCAATCCAGCCCAGATCAAAAGTAGCTATTCAGGCAGAAATTGAAGACCAATGTTCTTTTATCTTTTTAGAGTTGGTCTTTCCTGTTTGAGTTTTGTAAAAGGCAGTTCTGCGTGAAAACAGTTCACTTTTTTGTTATTTATTTTGGCCAGAACTACCAGCTTTGTACTATGAAAAATTGTGAAGTCCTCACCTGTTTGAGGCAAGAAAAGAACTTACTTTGGAGATATTCCTCACCCAAATTCACAATCGCTTGTTTAGAAATCAGTTTTTTGGGGCGCAAGTTATCCATTTTTAAAGAAGTCTGCTAAGGTTTTTATCGCTAGCAGTGGCACGCTCATACATAAAAGAAGGTTGACTTGTTAACCACAAATAGTTTTCAGGACAATAGAGAACTTTACCCGACCATCACAGGAACAAATATAAAACAGATGAACAATTTGGCACGCCTAGTAGGACTTCTTAGTACACATACTTCTAGAAAAATCTTATAGTATATGAATATTAGAAGTTCTAGCCAGAATCCACACTGTGCCATGGAAAGAGATCAAGCAGCTCTCCGGGAAGGACTTGAGTCAAAAGAAAGTGATGCTAGGCAATTAGGCCATGACAGTACCAGGAGTAGACGTTCCAGATCTGGATCCAGAAGGTTAAACCAGATACAAGAGGCTGTGTTCTGATAAGAGGCCACAGCACAAAGGAGACAGGATACTCTAAACAACATGACCGCCATGATGTAATTCCAAGTCAACAGGCAGCTTAGGAAGGACCAAGATGCTGCTATTGCCAGAATTCCAAACCCAGATGTTGTGGTCCAACAGCTAAACCTCCCTTATGGACCTCCACCAGGACTGGCATGGCCATACCAAGAGAACCCTATCATCAGATAGCTGGAATACCAGGACATGGAGAAATCCAAGCTGGACAGAGGGGAGGAGCCTTTCCCATTCAAGAACACAAGGCTCCGGTTCGTCTAGAAGGCCCCGCACCAGTTCAGGCCCCCTAGAATCAGCAAGAACCTCCATCTATTCCACAACCAGTGGCCCCACGTGATAAGCCCTTGACACTTCTACCTGAGCAACCAGCTGTATTGCCCTACAGACCTAGAAGGATGGACCCCAATCCATTCCCTCCACTAATAAGAGGTAGGAGAGGTAGAGGGGGAATCAACCCCTTTGCAAACAATGATAGGAACAGACGGGGGGCAAACTGGATGAAGCATCCAGATTTCGAAGAAGAGGAAGAACATAGGGAGGAAGCTCTGTACAGACCATACATAGTGGAATAGAGGATTGAATACAACTAGCCAGAACAAGGGTGAAATCCACATCCTGTCAATGCTTTGAATGACATGAGGGCACTTCAGATAATGATTAGAGAGATGATGGAACCTGAGGCCAGAAGAGGGGAATTACCCACCTACAGAAAGCCATATCCATCTTGTATTGATCAAATACCTCTATCCCCGGGCTTTAAGGTACCAAACTTCACCTTGTTCAACGGAGAGGACACTCATGCTTCATCAGTTGAGCATATAGGCAGATTTTTCGTCGTGCATAGCCATAAAAAATAACCCTCTATTGAAATTAAGGCTTTTTGGAAACTCACTCTGGGGACAAGCCTTCATCTGGTATACTAGCTTACCAGCCAATTTTGTTCAAACTTGGGAAAATAGGGAAAATGTCTTCCATGACTACTATTTCAAGATTCAGCTAGAAGTCACCATCAGTGATCTTGCTGCCCTCAAACAGAGTGAAGATGAGCCCACCCAAGACTTCATAACCAGGTTCAAAAAGCTCAAAATGAAATGTCGGATACTTATGGAAGAAAGACATTTCATTCAAATGGCTCAAACCACTCTTAAAATCTCTCTAAGGAAGAGATTTGATGGGATGCTGTTTGGAGATCTGACATAACTGGCAGACAAAGCATCTAAATACGAGGAGCTGCTCAAGGAAGAACAACAGAAGAGGAATTCTTCCAAAGGCACATATTACAAAACCCCATCTTTTTCATTAAATCTGGTTGAGGTAGAATAAGAAGAAGGCGCAAAAAGCTCGGAAGAAAGTGAAGTTGCAGTGGCAGAAATGGTGAAATTAAAACATCCCATCAGTTGTGAGGCTCTGACAAAGCCACCAAAGGACCAAAAGCCACCACCATTCACATGAGGGTTTGTTCCAAATAAACCAGCACAGAACAAAGTATATTCCTTCGATTTAACCAAGGTTGATGCTATCTTTGATGAGATGCTGCTACAGAAGGCAATAGAGACACCTCATAGGTTGCCCAAGCTAGAGGAACTCAAGGGCGGACAATATTGCAGATGACACAACTCTTGGAACCATTCCACCAACAGTTGTGTTGTTTTCAAGGACGTCATACAAGAAGGAATAGCAGCAAGAAGGCTAAAACTGGCTGAAAAGTCTCCCTCAATAACAACAGATCCTTTTCCCCAACCTCAAGTCAACATGGTCAACTTAAATTGACCAGAATAGAAGAAAGGCAAACTAACAGTAGAAGCTAGCCCCAGCATAGGCAGAAGAGTCACAAGATAGGCTAATCAAAGACTAAAGGCAACCATTTTGGCTGGGGTAATTTTGTGCAGTAGGTGCAAATGTGAAAGTGAGTTAAAGGTAACTCTAGATAGGCAAAGTCAGCCCACACCTAGTGTTTTTGACAAGATTGGAACATCATACCAACAGGGCCCAGTTCCGGCTCCACCTTGAGACAGAGCCAGACAGAAGGACTATTTAAGGCGTACCCAACGCAACAAGAGAATAACAGAACAGCCAAAGGAGGAAATACCAGTTAGGATGCCCGGAAAAGATAAGCCCTTGGCAACTATCATAAAAGGCAGATGGTATTCTGTTGGAAAGAGCAGCAGACCAACTTTGGAGTTAACTAGAACATAGAAGACCAACTTCCAGAGACCAGTTCTGCCAGAAAAGGGAAAAATCCGAAAGTAGATCCTCAGGCAGAACAGGCAACATGTCAACCAAAAGAGCTGACAAAGACAGAGTCTCTGAGCAAGCCTTCCATCCATCCTGCCCCACCCTTAGTCGGTTAGCTAGAACCTTCACAGTCACAAGGTCGATTCAGACCTATTCCAGCAGAAGGACAAGAAGATTGGACTGAAGAATATGAAGAATAGCAGTTGGACTACGAACCATCTACGGACGACCAGATTGGATTCCTCGAAACAGGTGAACAAGAAGGCTGGACAGAAGAATATAAGGAAGAACAGATGGAGTACGATGGAAAATTGGATGAAGAAACTGAGGCTTTCAGTGCAGAATTAGAAATCATGTTACAAGGAGATCTAGGCATTAACATGGTGTTTATCCTATCAAAAAAGTTCAGGGCAGCAGAAGGACAAGAAAGCACTTTGGAAGGAGACGTGCCATCCGAGGAAAGTTTTGAGTGCAGATTGGCAGAAGTAAAGGAGGCGCCAGAATGGCCAATACCTACTGCTAAAGCAGGCAGAACTGCTATGAAATTAGCAGCAAAACAACTGTGTTTTTCTGAACCTACAAAAGAAATGGCCAATAATCTCAGGCATTTGTTTATAACAGCAAACTTTGGAGGTGTTCCTATTCCCAAAATAATCTTCTACCTCACAGGTTTCTGATCAATATGCGCAGAATAGAGAAGGATCTAATTTCAACAAGCTTAAAAGTCACCAATTAGCTAGGGGTATCACTAAGACTCATGGAATACTATATGTGGATGTCATAGTAAGAACCACGAAGCTGAAGATTGCCTTTTTTTTTTGTTGTAGACACCACTTCTATCACTTACAATGCACTGCTAGGCAGAGACTGGATCCACCAGAGTCTATGTGTTTCTTCCACTCTACACCAGCAGTTGGCCCTCTGGCATGAAGAGGCATTTATGGAAATAGTGAAGGCTAACCCACAACCATTTCTGCCATCTGCATTATGTTTTGCGGCCAGGTATTATCATGATGACCTTGGTCCTTTCACTTTCTTTGGAGTTAACCAAAACGGCAGTCCCCATGGTGTCACAGCCTAGAAACTCATTGAAGAAGGTCTAGCTAGTTCCCTAGAGGACTGGAATAGACCCTGCGTTCTCAACCTCCATAGTTATGATGTTTAGCTCAAACCAACAGGAAAAGGATCGAGCTGCAACAATCTGATCCATCACAAATAGATTGTTGGTATATTGGGAGGGAAGAAAGCTTTCTATGCATAATCTAGCCATTAACATGGTAAAATTCATGCATGAGGGTATAGAAGAACAGGAAGGAAATTTGCAAGAGGAAGAATTGGAATTTGCACTAGCAGCACTAGATGATTCCCTGCCAGAAGTGGAGAATCCTTTGCAAGAAATAAACCTGGGAACAGAAGAGGATACTAGACCTACTTTCATCAGCACATTACTAGAAGAGCTAGTAAAGAATGAGATCATTGCACTTCTGCATGATTTCAAAGACTGTTTCGCATGACACTACCATGAAATGCCTGGACTGGATAGAGGGTTGGTAGAGCACAAATTACCAATAAAAGAAGGCTACTTACCAGTCAAGCAAGCAAGAAGAAGGATGTCCATGGAGACATAACTGAAAGTCAAAGAAGAAGTTGAAATGCAGGTTAAAACGGGTTTTATCAAGCTAACCATTTATGCTGATTGGTTGTCCAATATTGTACCAGTTCTTAAAAGGAAAACAGGGTCAGTTAGAATATGTGTGGACTACAGAAATCTGAATTAAGCATCTCCCAAAGATGAGTATCCAATGCCCGTGGCAGACATGCTGGTAGACGGAGCTGCTCATAATCAAATGCTATCATTCATGGATGGCAATGCAGGATACAATCAGATAATGTTGGCAGAATAAGACATCCACAAGACAACCTTCACGTGTCTAGGGCACATAGGTGCTTTTGAATACACTGTAATGACTTTTGGCTTAAGAAATGAAGGAGCCATTTATTAAATAGCAATGAGTTTTGTTTTTCATGACATGATAGGTCATTCTCTAGAAGTTTATATAGATGATGTGGTGATTAAATCCCTAGGAAAAGGAGATCATGTATCAAATCTAAAAAAGGCATTCTTAAGAATGAGACAACACAAGTTGAAAATGAATCCCAAGAAATGTGTTTTTGGGGTTCAAGCTGGCAATTTCTTAGGTTTCTTGGTCCACCAAAAAGGAATAGAAATCGACAAGAACAAAGCAAAATCTATCATCGAAGCTTTGCCACCTTGGAACAAGAAAGAATTGCAGAGGCTCCTAGGGAAGATTAACTTTCTAAGAAGATTCATATCCAATTATGCAGGGAAAATCCAGCCTTTCTCCTCCTTATTGAGATTGAAGCAGGAATAGACATTTAAGTGGGAAGAACAGCATCAGCAGGTTTTTGAGGAAATCAAACATTACCTCTTAAATCTACCAGTTCTGTCCCCACCAAAGAGAGCAAAACCTCTGAAGTTATATGTTTCTGCATCAGAAGTATCCATTGGGAGTCTGCTAGTTCAAGATAACAAGGAAGGGAAGGGGCAAACAATTTATTACCTGAGCAGAACTCTGACAGAGGTAGAAAGGAAATATTCTGCAATTGAAAGGAATCTGTGGAGCTCATCAGTGTGGATGGAAGATGTGCTGGTTAATTAGAAGGTATAGCTACTTCTGGCCAACTATGAAGAAAGATTGCATTGAATATTCCAAAGGATGTGAAGCTTGTCAGAGGCATGGACCAATCCAGCACGCTCCTTCAGTTCCCATGAATCCAGTGGTTAAGCATTGGCCATTCAGAGGATGGGCAATGGATCTCATTGGCAAAATCTATCCAGCTAGTAGCAAACAACACTGTTTTATCATTGTGGCTACAGACTATTTCACCAAATGAGTAGAAACCAAACCTGTTAAATCCACCACATCTCAAGAGATCATCACCTTCATAGAAGAACAGATTATACAAAGGTTTGGTATTCCAGAGTCAATCACAGCTGACAGGGGATCTTATTTCATATATAGGGAAATGTTATATATGGTAGAAACATTCAAGTTCAAACTACTTCAATCCACTCTTTATTATGCTCAAGCTAATGGACAGGCAAAATCAAGTAACAAGGTGATCATCAACATTATCAGGAAAATGCTCGAGAAAAATGCAAAGCAATGTGTTCACCTCGTTTTGTGATTTCTCCTGAGATGGAAGGGCAAAGTTCCTCACTGCCTTGAAAACCATTGACTAGTCAACAAGTCAGCTTTCTTTGGTGTATGAGTGTGCCACTGCTAGCAATGAAGATTCTAGCAGACTTATTCTAGAATTGATAACTTGCGCCCCAAGTCACTGATTTCTATAAACAAACGATTGTGAATTTGGGTGAGGAATATCTCCCAAGTAAGTTCTTTTCTTGCCTCAGACTAGTGAGGACTTTAACAATTTATCTCAGTAAAAAGAGGTTGCTCTGGCCAAAATGGTTGATGGAATTTAAGCTGTCTTGGGCATAACTGCCCTGTTCACTCTTTCTTGTAATTATAAGAAATGTTTTTCTGGAGTAGGGTGTTTCTTTTAATAATAGGCGGCAAATCCTTTCAAAGATCTGCAAAGAGATACAAGAGAGGGAATGATTTAATTTAATTATGTCAGATATAGGCTTTTATCAATCAATCTTTGAGATCACTTCCCTGTTTTTTTTTATAAAAGAAGCCTAATTCCTTTTCCCACTTTAACTGCCCCTTGTGAGATTTCAACCGTGATGGTTTAGTTTGATTTCCCAGATGAACAACTTTCTGTCCTCCTGCTTATATCTTTTTTTTGAAAATATGGCCTGTGTATCTCTTGAAAGGATGGTACCTTCTTGGAGTGAAATCAATATTTTTGAATATATAAGAAGGATTTTGATCTTCTGGTGGCAGAAATTCAGAGAAGTCCTTTTGCCACTGACCTGCTTTAATTAATTCTCAATCAACTCAGTTGAGTTTGTTGACTTTTCCATTTTGGTAGTCACGTGGGTTCTGAAAACGGATCTCTTCCTTTTTTTTCTTTTAACCATGCTGGGCCCATTCTGATTTGTCTGGAGCCCAAAGGTAACTGCTTTTCTTTTGGGGCCCAAGTTTTCTTGCCACATTTTGATGAGTCTTGGGCTGGCCTATCTGGATTTTGGGCTTTGCCTTCCGTTTTGCAAAAGCCCAAACTGCTTGAGTCTTATAGCTTTTATTCTGGGCTTTCTCCGTGTTGGGCTGGGCGCGTTTAATTTAGGCCCAAACACAATGACATGAGAAATTATCAGAAACTCTCTGGGTATTTCGAACTTCAAAAAGAGATGCAACTGGCATGACCCCATATGCTATAACCTATGGTCATGATGCAATTCTGCCTATGGAAATAGCAGTTCAATCTCTTAGAATTGCTCAACAACATAATATGGTTGGAGAAAACTATTCTGAAGCAATGCTACTAGAACTGGAAGGATTGGACACAAGCAGAATTGATACCCTCAATAAACTGTTCGCAAGAAAGCAGGTTGTTCTAAGAGCCTATATCAAGAGAGTTAAGAACAAGAGTTTTGAGGAAGGAGAAATAGTCTAGAAAACAGTTCTGCCCCTTGGAACACATGTGGCTGGTTATGAAAAATGATCACCTACTTGGGAAGGACCTTTCATAATTCGAGAAGTTCTCGGATTGGGAGCATATATGTTACAGGATCGAGATGGAGATATTCATGCTGCACCAATCAATGGCAAATGGCTGAAGAAATTCTATCCAACTATGTGGGATTCACAGGCAGTACAAACAGATCCTGGGATTGAAAAAGAAAAGGATAGAACTGATGCTTAAATTATTGTTCAGAGTTGTGCTTTAATTTTACATTAGTATATTTCATTTCTACCTTCTTTTGTTTATTTAGGCAAAAGAAATCGAAAATGCGAAAGTTCCACAAAAATAAATAGCTTTTATTAAAAATAGTCTTTTTTCGTGACTAAACTTTTATTATATTTTGATTTTCAAAAATTCAAAACCTTAATTTCCAAAGGGTTTCTTGCAATCCGACTTTCTTGGTAGAAATTTATTGCTGAAGAAGCATCCCTTGATGAAGAAAGGCCTATGCAATGTCCAATGCTGGCCTAGAAGCTGCAACCATGTTCTGCACAAGAAAAGTGGCCTTTGTCTTGGTGCCCAGTCCAGCCCCAAGTTTGTTCTACCTCTCCTCAGCCCAGCCAGCTGCTTTTGAAGTTCTTTAATTTGTCTTTCTAACTTGTCAGCAGCAGTCTTGGCCTCCTTGTGGCCCGCAACCATCTGGTCTAGTTCTGGCTTCATGAGTAGCCTTGCAAAATTCAGAGGCATTGAAGGAGGGCTTGGTCAAGGATAGGTCTGGGAGCCATGGTCAACAGCTTATCTATTCTCATCCAACTCCAGCTCGGTTGACTGCCATATTTTTACTCCGTCCACTGCCTCATCCACTACTTTGGACTTAGCCTTACTAGGAGTAGAGCTGAGCTTCTCTAGCCTGTCCAGCTGAGCATCTAGATCCATGGCTTCAAATTCTGCCAGTTCTGGAGCAGCAAATAAAGTCGTGGCTGGTTTACTAGGGATGAAATGGATCTACAAAGAAATGATTTCAGTCAGTTCCATGCTAATTGAATAGGAGGAGAGCTAAAGGCACAGTGATACTTACAACCACAATAGGAGGTTTGAGGGGACTAATTGCTACAGTCAGAACCCCAGCAGTTTTATCTTTTTCCACCTGAAAAGGACAAAGGAATTTGAAGCAAAACAAAATAGAACTACAGAAACCAGACAATCAAAGACAGAACAAAAATTACCTCAGGATCAGGAACAACAATAGGGTATTCTACCTCCATTTCAGGTTCTGGAGCTGCAACAGGAAGTTCTGCCTGTGCCACAGGCTCTAATGCAGATTGCTCTGATTGTTCCGCAAGTACTGGAACTGCAGTGGAGTGTTCTACCTCTGCATCCTCAAAAAGGGCCAACTCTGAGCTTGTCAGTTCTGCCCTTTGAGTTTCCTGCTGCTTCTTCACCAAAGCAATACTCTTTGCTATCACCTTAAGCAGAGTTCGGGTTTTACATATAGGAAACCTCAACAAATTTATGGAGAGCCCTAATCAAGCAGAAAATGTACTACAATGCAGTTCCAGCTTAGTAATCATCAAATCCAGCCACTTCTGCCCCTTCTAGACTGAAGAGGTTCCAATTCTGCCCGTTCACAAAGCCTTCCAGGGCTTGAAATAGATTAAAACTCTGCCAAACTCGAATGTTGGTATCGACTTATAGTTGAAACTTGGCAGTTGAAGGTGTTGATGGTCCAATCCAGCCCATATCAACAGTAGCTATTCAGGCAGAAATTGAAGACCAATGTTCTTTTATGTTTTTAGAGTTGGTCTTTCCTGTTTGAGTTTTGTAAAAGGCAGTTATGCCTAAAAACAGTTCACTTTCTTGTTATTTATTCTGGCTAGAACTACCAGCTTTGTACTGTGAAAAATTGTGAAGTCCTCACCAGTATGAGGCAAGAAAAGAACTTACTTGGAAGATATTCCTCACCCAAATTCACAATCGCTTGTTTAGAAATCAGTGACTTGGGGCGCAAGTTATCCATTTTTAAAGAAGTCTGCTAGGGTTTTTATCACTAGCAGTGACACGCTCATACACAAAAGAAAGTTGACTTGTTAACCACAAATGGTTTTCAGGACAATGTGGAACTTTACCTTATCATCACAAGAACAAATATAAAATGGGTGAACAATACCTTATATTTCTGGGATCGTATAGGATTCGACGAATCTTGAATCGAAGTCCCGGATATTCCGAAATCGTGAGCCCTAGGGGCTAGATAAATCGTAATCGTCCGATCGTGATCAATTCGACCGTCCGATTCAGACCAAACTAGCAAGTTAGGTTTAGAAGGGTGTGTTGAGCCTATAGGAAACCCCAGATTTGTGATCGGAAGTCGTGGGCTCGGATGGCCAAGTGTAGATAGTTTGACCCTTCACCGTGAGTCTTCCGAAGTAGTTTTATCCTTCGAGAAGTGTTAGAACAACCATGTAAACGAGTGCTGACTGAAAATGGAGTTATTTGGATCATATTATAGAATAAGTATAGATAGGTATGTATAGATTGCTAAATTGTGCACAATTTTATTAATTATTATTTGAAAGTGAATTATAGAATTTGATGGTAAACTTAAATGTTATTCTTGATATTTGGAGATTATATATTATGGGGACTGATGGAATCTCTATGGGTAGTGATTATTTATTTATTGATTTATTGATTTATTTAATTATTTATCTAATTATTTGTTTGCTATTAAGATTATTATTACAGTATTGGGATGGTTTGCTAATTGAAGTTCGACGTGATTAATAAACTGATTAAATATTTGAGTGCATGTCTATATTTAATACATATACTCAGTAGTTGAAAATGATAAATCATGAACCTTGGTTTTTATCAGAATGTGGCATTTATATTTTAAGTGTGGTTGAGAATCAAATTATTGGAAAGTTGATATAAAGGTCAGAAAATATATTTGTGAAATAAGGGAAAGTCTTGTGATAAGTTTTGGATATGGTTTTTCAAACCCACCATAGGAGTACCCCCCCAGTGGCCTTGAAACAATTTGGTTATTTCTGATAATGCCCCACGAGTTTTGAGGATGCTTGAACCGTGCGGTGCAAGGATTGCGGCTTGGGTAGACTTGGTGTCTTTGAGGCCTGCGAGGATTGCGGCTTGGGTAGACTTGGTGTCTCCGATGCCTACGAGGATTGCGGCTCGAGTAGACTTGGTGTCTCCAAGGCCTGCGAGGATAGAATTGACGGATTATTATTGGAATTGACGGATCATGAATGGGGGTACGCCTAGGTGGTGGAGAGAATTAAAGTTTTGAGTTTGTTTTACTAGTAAAAGAGGAAAATATATATATTCCAGTTAAGTTGTCGTCGACATTAAGTTTTCACGTGGTCAATGTTATTTTAATAATTTTTCTCATTTTCCGACTTATCTATAATAAGTTAATTATAAATCTTTTTATATATATATATATATGTATATGTATTTGTAATTGGGTTTTACGTGAGTTTTGAAGGAAAGGATAAAAGTGTCTTCGGTAGTTGATAATTTTACTTTCTATTTCTTTTATTATTTTTATTTTTATTTTCATCTTTGTTTTTGTTATATATACTAGCCTCTCCGCACGTGCTTTCGCGCCTACGAGAGGCTTTTATTTTATTTTATTTTATTTTTGATTTTTTTAATTTTTAATTTGTTTTAGAATTAAAAAAGATAATGGGTAATTATGTTCCATAAAAATAGGATCTATTATTTGATTTGTATTTTAATTTTAATTTTTTTTAATATGAAAAAGTGTGAATTTACCATATTATCTTAATTTAATTAATAATTTCAATTCTTAATGTTTGCATTAACCAAGGACATTTTCTGGTATTTTGAATGTTTCACCATTTTCTGCCTTTTGCTTTATATATATATATATATATATTAATCTAAGCCAGTAAAACATAATTGACTTATGAATTAGAGGAAGTTCAGTGAGTGGCATGCTTATGCTCTAAGTGTGAACTGTTCTGGGAATTGGGAAAGCTAAAAAGTGTATACCTTAGAATTTGTGAGTAATGTTGAGCATATCACTAACATGGGAATTAGAATTGTTTTGCTATCACATTGAAAGAACTACGTGTGGGTTGATCCCTTGTTAAGGGCACGTAGGCAACTTAGAGTTATTAGGTGCAGCCGCAAGATTTAGTGATGGAAGAGCTGTTTAGTTGAATGATTTGAAATCCATGATCTTACTTATGTTATTTCAAAATGTGGGATTAGTTAAGTGGTTAGAACAAACTTAATTGATTTAATGAGGCCTGAGATCATGAATATTATCATTTCAGTATTGTTGGACTTTGGCATGTGACATGTTTGATTGCATGAATACTGTTTTTGTGTATGATGAACGAATGGGGATATTTAGATTGTTTGTTGTACATGTGTAAATTTTGGGAAATGAGTAATTTACAAGGGAGATTCTGCTGGATTTTCGGCAGAAGTCAAACTTGAAATAAATTTGGATTTAATTAGAATGGCAATTCAGTCATTTGTGTTCGGCAACCACCAGGTGTTGGACACACACAAAGTTCGGCTCAGATTCCAAAGTGGAATTTGGGTAAGGTCCTGTCATTTAAATTCCAGCCGTTGGTTTTTTTTTAATTATATTTTTTTACCGTTAAAATAGCTTAGATTTAATCTATAACGTTGATTTAAAGTTACTATTAGAATTTTTTTTTAAACGAAATTTGAATTGCAATGGACACTTAAGCAGGAGCCGACACGTGGCATGTGTTGCGTCAGGCCTATAGACAAAGCCACCAGCGCCGGCCCCAGTGTATTTTCTGATGCACATGGGTTGTGCTATCTGTTGTTGGGCTCCATTGAATAGTTTTGGGTCCAGGTAATACTTGGACTGGTATTTGGATCCAAGTTTGGGTTTTCCCAAATTTTGACCCTTTCATTTTCTTGAGTTGAAAGAGATTTTGAATAATAATTCATGATATTTTGCGTTTAGCCTCTTGGGTTGGAGATGGCCTTATGGAGTGAAAGGACCACAATGTTGTAAGTTGGATCAATATGCTTCACGAAATAGATATCTTTTGCTCCCAAATAGTATTCTAGTACTGGTCCACCAGGGGACACTAGGAGGTTCCCTCTTCCTGAAAGTACTAATAAATATGGGCTGTTGAACTCTCTCTTTCAAATTAAAGTCTTTTTTTTTCTTCTTTTTTTTTCCATGCAGTGCTTATAACTATTTCCAACCGAGGACTGCATTATTGAATATCAATAATGTAAACAAGTATATATATTGATCATGGTAAGGGTCCTTGTATATGTTAGACATTGTCTGGAATACAATACAATTCTTTTACATTGGGTAAGCGATTGGCAACCATTGGGTATCATATACGATATTTTCTTTGCATCGAGTGTTTTTGAGATAAAATCTAAACCCACAAAGAAATCAAAGACAGTTTATAAATTGGAAACCATATCAAAGTAAGATGAAGAGCCGCAAGAAATGGGCTCTCGATCGATGGACAAGTGGTGTGGGTCTTAATGTTTATTAAATATCCAGGCCAATATATGGCTAATATTAGGGAATTATCATTTAATTGATAATTATCTAAATTAAATGGATATTGTCGACAATTACTTGGCATTAAAGGTAATTAATTAGATAATTTATTCTAATTTATTGTCATCTAGGTCTTTGTCATTTTTCAAGGTAAACATATTTTAACACGCCCAGTGGGATTTCTAATACACATATTGATGACAATAAACATATTTTTCAAGGTAAATATCCCAGATCTAAGTGAGCATCCATGATCCATGGTATAAATAAAAAGGAAACAACTTCTTGAAAAAAGCAGAAAAAAATTCTTACCAACCAACCACATATGATATGGAACCAAAGAAACGAAAGAAGAAAAGAAAGAAAGAAGTGGGGGAGAGGAAGAGGTAGAAGGAGCTGCTTATACAGGAACAGGACTGACTAGTGAAAGGAGAAATAAAGTTTAGTTGGAGGAAACCCTAGGAAATACTCGGAAGAGAGAGAGAGAGCCGCTAATGCTTCGATTTTTGGTAGTGGGTGGCACGCTCGTAAATTCACACATTCTCAAAGCGTATTCTAGGTCTTTTTTATTTTTCATGGTAAACAATGAGATACAAATATCCACACCTAAACAAGTACGAAGTAATTAAGTGAGATCCGAAGAGCACTTGGTTGGGCCCTCGACAACGAGACAGAATGAAATTTATGAGAGAACAAGGTTATGTCAGACTGTTGAAACTCATCAAGGCCGAAAGGTCGGGTGGTTATATTATATTGAGGGAATGATTGAAGAGGATAAAAGATCGGCTTCTGCAGGAAGTGTTTGGTGGCTGTGATGCAACCTCAAGAAAGCAGGTGTTTAATGGGATTAGTGATTATGCTGAACCACACCGGATTACCGGTTATGCTGAACCTCATGGGTCCTTCTGGTTCAGGAAAATCTACCTTACTTGATGCCTTGGCTGGTATATTATATATATATATATCTCTCTCTCTCTCACATGATTTCTCCAATATTAGATTAGCAATAATTTATAATTAAAGTAATTGATTAAAGGCTATTTCTCTTTGTTGGATAAGGCAAAAAGACTGTTGGAAGTATTTCTCTTTAAAAAAACGTATACAAAATACTATATATTTCACAACATTCACAATAAAGCCATACTACATGTGAGTTGAGACCTATCTTTTTATCTATACCTATATATATAAAGTAAAAGGCAGATAATGGTGAAACATTCAAAATACTAAAAAATATCATTGGTTAATTCAAGCATTAAGAATTAAAATTATTAATTAAACGAGGATAATATGGTAAATTCACACTTTTTCATATTTAAAAAAATTTTTTTAAAAAAATTCAGATAATAGGTCCTACATACTTTTATGGAAATAACTACCTATATTATATTTTCTTAATTCTAAAAATAAAAGAAAAAAGAAAAAAGAAAACCAATTGGCACATGCATGTGAGCATGTGC